TGCTGGAAAATGAGACTTGTGAGTTTTCTGTTGTATAATAAAACAGATCTCTCTCTTTCATTGTTAAATTCTTAATGAAAAGTTCTTCCAATCACATTTCAGTCTTTTAGATGCAAGAAAGTTGTTGTAATTTCAATAAAGTACTCTCTCCAGGCACAACGAAACACTGTGGCTAAGTACAGACAATCGAAAGCCAAAGGCTGAATTGATTCAATCTTTGCAGGTTAGTCTAAGCTACATAGATTGAATAGATAAGCAGAATTCACTTTGGATTCTGGAAATGTAGCCACTTGCCTGCAGTAGCCTAGGCCAGAGGCAAGGGGGTGCTAAAGCACGCCACCCTGTTCACCTGAAGGAACAACTTGGGCCAAGGCTAGCCCACCCACCCTGCAGGGGCTAGGTTTGCAGGGGAGATGCAAAGCATCCTGGGATGCTGGGGAACTGAGCGTTAAATTGAATCTGGAGGGGCTCTGGGACAGAAATTCAATAAACTGATTTAACCAAGTCAGTTAAGCCTGATGCTACATCCATCTAGGTTTACCTTAAACTGGTTTCAGACTTTTTGAAAGAAGTTTATGTGCACTAAACTTCTGCTGTCTTACAGATTTGAACTTGTTTCCAATCACTTATACTGGTTTTTGTGTAATTTCTGTCCCTGGCCTGTGTATTTTAGAATGTACACAAGTGATTTGGGCATACAATTACTGTATGTTAGCAAACAAATTAGACATACAAACAAGCATACACTCAGTACATATGTATACACACTACCCTAATGGTTATTATTTGTTTTTTTTGTTGCATATCTCAGTAAGCAATAAGTGGCTATAAGCATCTCGTATGTTTATCACAACTTTGACTGGATTGCTGTACAACTAAGATTCAAGCTACTAACTTTGTTCTGTTCACAAGCCTACATATGCTGCAGCAGACAGAATACTTAAACATTCAGACACTGTTTCTCATTTCCTATACAACAACAACAAAGACTTGTAAGTGTGGTTTTACTCCATACAGGCACATCCATATTCATATCTGTACTTGTGTATTTTGAGTATTATCTGCTCATTTTAACAATTTTTTAATTTTTTTGCGGGGAAAGGGGAGACATTTTAAATCACAGTGAAGAGAGAGTGAGCTTTATTTTATTTCGTCTTACACAGTGTCAGAATTGCTTAATAGTTCCAACTGGTTCAGTCTATACAAACCGTAGTTTGGCTTGCAGATCCTGGATGTGGAGACATCAGGTATAAGATAGAAGGAACTGACCTTGAATTCCATGTTCAGTTGTCAAGGCTGATATAATATCTTTGATATATAGTTTTGGAAATGAGACCAAAAAAAAGGGAAACTCATGATGCTATTTAACAAAGTCACATTCCAGAGTAGAACCCTGTTTTACATTTTTTCCATATGATACTGAAAAAATGTTTTCCCAGCAAATATTAGCTTTTACTAAGGATAATATATATCTTAAGAATACTCAAACATTCCATATTTTTTTTCATTTAAACGTATTTTTATATCTATTTAGCATATTTCAATTCATATAGATTTTCATTAGACAGGCAATAAATAACTAATTTTAATGTCTATTTTAATAATGAAAAGATTGCTCATGACTATTTATCATTATAAAATATTTAAGTACTAAATGTATTTGCTGGATGTAAGCCTTTTGTACTTCAATAAAATACAGTAAATCTATTTACTTGAAAATTGCATCTGTAATTAAATCAGCTTGTACATTCATCTTATCAGAATTATATCCTCTTTCTACATGTGGGTCTTAAACTAGAGTTGCAAATTAAGGTGGCAGATTATGCCACTAGTAAAAATAAAGAAACTGGATTCTGAGGTTTCATCAAACAAGCTTTCATAATACTTAGGTTGAATAATTATTTGGAATAAAATATTCTCCTGAGGCATACAAACCTAAAAAATCAAAGCAGTGAGAAATTAAGCACCACACATTTACACTGCTGTAAACAAGCAGATGCATGATGCAACCCTATCTACGCTGTTGTGACTTTCTAGAATCCAGCGTAGACTTAGGTGGGAAAAATGAAATGTAAAACATGCCATTCTAAATTAGTGTGGGTGTCATGTCTGCTTCCATTGGATCACGCACAAAACACAGTACTCCAGCTACTCTCATTATGGGCCAATGCCACTGGGGAAGAAGAAAAGGGGCAGGGATTGACCACCTGCGTAAAACTCCCTATGTCCGTTGAGGACCAAGTCCTCACCATTTACCCGGTTCCTTTCGACATTGAAAGATGGTTTGCCGAAGTAGCAAATAGGAAGGAGAACAACGTAACTATATCCGTCCTGCTGAGGGGAGGAGGCCACATATCTACATACTATAAGTAGCCCCACGGGTTTGACCTCAGCACCCTCTTCAATGTTACCTGGCCCCCTAGAGAGGAATGCTGGGAAAGGGAGCATACTTGTGCGTGCTCTGCCATCCCATGGGGGATACATCCCCAGGGGGAGGAATGGATCAGGCCCAACATGTCCCTGAAGTGGGATGCTCTTATAATGGAACCACATTGGCACATCGATCTAGGCTCACAGGGAGATAAAGCCCCATCTGAATTTGTACAGACTCCCCTGATAGAAGCCACACCACTCGTAGAGTGGAATAGATCTTTCACAGTTAACCTAAGGAGAACAGGCAGTCATGGGCAACAATCGTGGTACGGGTTTTACTACCCAATTCTCCGAGCCATATTATCCCATGCTGCCTGCCACGGCTTAGAGCAGCCGATTTGACAGTCTGGGCCCCCAGAAAGATCTAGGCACGCTTTTCCAAACCCTGGTCGATGCGATGAGATTATGACACCAGCTCCATTTGGCCTAGCATGGGCATGCACTGATGGAAAATTATATACAGTTCTACCAGCAACCTTAACGGGTATCCAATGTGTGTTAAGTTCTGTCTTGTTTTGCCCCCCACTTAAAGCGTCAATGGCAAAACCACCCAGCCCAACCATACTACATAGACAAACTCAATCAAACACCCCAGTATGGAGTTCCCTAACACATGGGGAGAAAATAGTACAAAGCCTCGGGTGGGCCTTCAAAGGGCTATTTCTGTGGGGTCTGGCAATAGCAAAGGCTCAAACTGCGCTAGCAAAATTACCTGAGCAAGTCGAGCTCCTAGCAAATCATACGGCAGTAGGTTTTGAACTTATCAATGAACAATTGCAGGCCACATCTAAAATGTCCATACAGAATCGCCTAGCACTGGACACCCTCCTGATTCAACAGGGAGGATTATGTCAATTTCTAAATTTGTCCCACGACCTCTGCTGCATTGGTATACCAAATGTAACAATTCCCTTACAAAATCAAGTTATCGAAATTCGGAAAATAGCAGAGTAAGTGAACGCAGTTGCTGGTATTGGACAGGGCTGGCTGTCTAGGATTTTTCAAGGCCTCGGTTGGAATGTCTCCTCGTGGTTAACAAACCTGTTAACACCTTTAGTTTTAATTATGCTAGTGTTGATTGTAATTACTTCCGTTGCTAGCTGTATTTCTCGTATTTTGACACGAAAAGTATCAGCTCTATCTGTTATGTTGTATGCTAAGCTACCCACGTACGAAAAGGTTGACGAGGAGAATGAGATTGAGGATCACTGTTGAAATTCTAATATAATTCTCCTGCATTGACAGCAACGGGGCATGTCAAGGAAAAATTTTGATTACGTGCTGCCAATGCAGAGAGAATTAAAGCTGACATGCACAAGACAGGCTCATGGAATTTTCCATTGGACTCACCCAGCATGTGTTCCCTGGGCGACCCCAAGAGCTGTCAGTCAGGCTGACCTACTTTCCAGCCCTGCGCATGCTTGGTAACAACGGAGAGCTCAGACTCACGCATGCTCAGCCAGCTAAGAGCATGATGTCATTCGGCTAGAAAGTTCTTTGAGGGACACATTCTAATTGGCCACCAAATTGGTATAAAAGGTTAAGAAGCCCCTCCCTCGGGGGGAGATCCGTTCAACTGAGGATGGAGGCTAGTTCTTAGGGACTGTCCCTCAGTTAGGTCTCCTCCAGCGTGGGCTCTTGCTATGTTTCGTACCTCGTTCATACTGTATTGATTCTCCAATTACTGGACTGTTTTCAGCTCTGATTTTGACCTTGTTCTCAGATCACCCTCGATACTTCACTACGACTTACCTGGTTTTCCACCTCGGCTATCATCTCGACCATCCAATCGTCCTTCAGGACTGGCGTCACGACTCCAATATTGTTTCAGTTCATCGAGTTACAGTTTGTCCTATCGTTTGTTTATCTTTTCATAAGCTGTTGACCAGCTCTGGGACTAGCCAGCAGGCAGCCGCCCCTAGCTCCGGCTAAATAGCAAGGGCTTGCTGGTGAACCCCATGAGCCGACAGACCCCTCTGTTTGTTTATTGTTACCATCCACTGTAACTGAAGATCGTTGCCTATGCCTCAAAAGCGTAAGTCGAATAAATCCCACTTGTTTAAGAAACCACATGCTTCCGTGACGCTCAGTACTCCATTGCCAAAAACTCCCGCCTGTCCACTCCAATTGCCACCACCTGGCCACCCCACCATGACCACGACCGTGAGTTTGGCTCACCAGCTCCAGGGCTGTGACAAGTACTATTAGATATAAAGGTCAAAAAAAGTGATTTTCAGAATATCCTGAATTTTCTGTTGACTTCTATGGAACTCAACAGATTAAGTATTCTGATAGTTAGAAATTGTTTTCATGTCTTTAAATGAATTCTGGGAGACACAGGAGAAAAAACAGTATTTCTTCCCACCATAAGTCCGCTCGTTGTTTTCCTATAGTTTTGTAAACACTTAACAGTTTACATTTATCTTGCTGGGATCCTGTGACCCCAGCTGACTTCCTGCCCCTGGGGTAGGGGGCTGGACTCAATCTTCTGAGGTCCCTTCCAGCCTTAATGTCCATGAAAATCTATGAAATTTAAAAAGCTGAAATAACTGAGTTGAGAGCCCACACAGATTTAAGCGCAGAATGTATTTATTTGTTGAAATTTTCAGTACATCATTAAGAGATCATTTTAAAGTACTTAAAAATATTTTGGAACAAATAAATGAAAACAATTCAGCTACAAAAGAGGAACAGAATTTCATTAGTGAATGAAAGTGGTACATACACCTCATCATTCTATGTTCTCTGAAAGTAGAATTCCACATAGATCCATGCTCTTGGGTCATGTGGGCAGGTATACAGTCTGGCATATGTGGGTTTTTTAATTTTGTTTTTTTTAAGGTGCTTCAAGTCAAAACTAATACCTGCATTACATAATTTAGAGGGTCAGGTCAGAACAAGTTGTCTTTCTTCTTACAAACACACCTGAGGATCACCAGTAGCTTATGCTATTTTCCCTATAGCATATGACTAACTCCTATCAAACAAGTCTCCCATCTAGCAGACTTATCAACAGAATGCATTCAGCTACTTATCTGCCCTGCTGCAGATTTTTAAAATCAAATTCTGAACTAAGACAACCAGAACTAGCAAAGACTTTTGTTTACCTGGATGGAAAGAATATCTGCAGTATTCTAGCACACTGGTGAGAACAATGAGAAAACAGGAAATATCTCATGTGATAACACCTAGTCACCAGTTCATTTCCAATAAGATGGCATGTTTCTGATACAAGACACATTATTGTTCCATCAAAGTGACTGATGAATATATGCTAACAAAAGAACCCTAAATATTTCATACCAATAAAGGGTAGTTTCCTACCAACACAAATCCACAGTTGATATAATATTAAAGAAGATCAAGAATGTGTCATGAGAATACTTATGCCTCTATTAATAGAAGGCAGGGGCTGAAGAAAAGAGAATTATATTGCATTTTTAATACTAACATGGACACGAGACTACCTGTACCTAGACAAGTACTGATTTAAGGTGTTTATTTAATGCAGGCCTGTCCAACTGGTGGCCTGCAAGAAATTAGTTCACGGCCCCAGGGCTCCCACCTGGCTGCCCCAGCCCTTACTCTGGCTGCAGTAGCAGCCAGGGGCTCTGTGTTCCCACCCCCGGACAGCAGAAGCACACTCCTCTGGCTTCTGCTTCCTGGAACAGCCTGTGGTACTGGGACAGCCCATGGCCCAGGGCAGCCATGTGGTGAAGGGCAGCAAGCGAGAGCCCATGGCCAGAGCTGAAGCTAGGTCTAAGACGCCCACGTGCCTATCTGGTGCAAAAGGGGGGAAGCACCTGCACACCTCGGGGTGGGGGGCAGGGCACAGCCCATGTTGGTATGGCCTGTGGCCTCTATTGGTGCAGGCCCCAGCCCCTTAAAATTTAGACAGCCCTGATTTCATGTATTCATTACATGCCACAGCCTTTTCCTATGTTTAGGGCTCTAATATTTGGATCTGATTCACAAGTGCCTAAATTTTAACTATGCAAGTAGTACAAAGTTAGCCTCACATAAAATTGTGCATATTTTAAATGTATTGCTAAAATTGGGGCCTGATGCACATAACTTTCATCTTGCAGTCAACTACCAGTGCTTCAATGAAGTCTTTGAGTAAAGGTGGAAAGGCAAAGGACTGGATCAATGTCCCCACATGACCCGAGACTGAGGGAGGGGAATCTATGCAGTGATACTTACCTTGAAGGACATTAACATTGCCAATTTTCAGTTCAGACAAGCTAAGAATCACCACTTTAACAAATATATAAATAAATAACTAGTTCTTTTCTCAAATCTCTTCACATGTTACAATATGGAGTGTATTTTCAATAACAGACTGACTGTGGCACACAAACACAATCTAATCTGTCAGTTAGGTAGTGTGTTCATCAGCTCTTTTTGACTGCACTATAGAACTGTATCTTTTCTTATGAACATAGTTTCCAACTTCCTGGTTTGAAACTAGTGCTGAGGTTTCAAACTTATGGCCTGCAGAGCCGCATCGTGCAGCCCACAGGACTGCCAGCAGGGCCATGAAAACAGGTGGGGGGGGAAGAAGCCTGCTACAGAAATCTGGGGCATCGAGCCCTGTTGATGACATGTCAGTAACGGGAGGTGAGCAATGGCTGCATTAGCCCCCGCTGCTGTAGCCAAATCTGGATTAAGTTGGGAAGGAACCCTGCTGTTCTGATCTGGCTGGGGGTAGGCAGGCTTCATACCCTCATAACAGCTTTGTAGAAACTTATGTTTTCTAAAGGTCTCAGCCTTAGGGTCCCAAGAGGTAATTAGTTTATAAAACAGGCAAGCTTTTTTCTTCACTACAGCCAGATAAAGGAGTGTTTTTTTAAAAGACGCCTGAATATTTAATTTTATCCAACAGGCACCAGGCTATGTATCTTTATTTTTCAAATTCAATGAGATAATAAATATCACATTTTAATCTGTTGAAGTATGGCCAGCATTATGAACACCAAGATAAATTAATAAAAAGCAGCTCAAGACTGTGTGGAATGAATAATTCCTATAACACAATCATTTTAAATTGCTAAACACTATTACAAAAAGCAAGCCATAAAGCCTGACAGAGGAGATTAAGTACAGGATCAGAGCAACTAAGAGAGTTTTCTGTTGCAATGTAACAAAAAATTAGCTATTTGAAGCCCTATATTGTAATTAGACACTCCAGTGACACATTACTGGGCAAGCCCTGATAGTCTAACAGAAATAATATAATCCTTGTGCATTTCGTTAACCTAAAAAGGATCAAGTTCAGTTTCCAATATTCCAATTATGCTGTGTTGTCTGTCAAAAAACTGAACACATTTCCCTCAATCTACATGTATTCAGAAATAGATTTCAAACAATGTTTATATATTTAAATTAAACTATGTGGGAAAATTAACCATTCAAGGATTCCTAACAAAAATTCATCAGAAAAATAAAATGAAACAGCATCTATAAGAAATCTGTTCTTAAAAAAAAGATGCTAAAAAGAGGGGGGGGGAACAATCTAGATGTGCAGCACGCCATTTGTGTACCTGTATTATTACATGGTACAACAAATATAAGTATGCACTTCTCAAAATGTATACATTTTGTGCCATTTGACTTCACTAAGATGAAGAAAGAAACCAACGTTTCTACTTTTATGAAGATTCCCCATAAGTTTCTGAAAAGTCAGTACATACAGATGTTGAGCAGCTTTCAGATCAGGACATACAATATTTCTGATCAAGTAAAAGTACTCCAACTTCTCTGGAAAAGAAGTTAAAGTTAAGGCCCCACAATTCCAGTTATAGAATACATTACACCTTCTTTACTGGAACATCATTTAAAACCAACTATTTTAGTGTTTTAAAGCAGGGGTGTCACACATATGCCACAGACCAAATTAGTCCTACGGCTTTTGCCCTGACCCTGGCTACAAAGAAGGACTTTCCATAGCAGCATCCAGCCTGAGTGAGAGCCATAGTGCTGGAAACCCAGCAGCACCATAGTATAAAGCCTGGTACTGCAGTTTAGTCCCATGGCAGCAGCCAACTGCTCATGTCAGGCTTCTTCCTGTGGTAGTGCTGCGGCTCCACCACCGAGGCTCTCAACCAGACACTTGGCTGCTACAACGGGAAGAAGCCTTGGTGTTGCTAGGGCTCCAAAGCTGCAGCTCTCACTGGCTTGACTGCCAAGCACCTGGATGAAAGCAACAGCACTACAACCTCAGCAACACCACAGGAAGAAACCTGGCACTGTAGCTTGCTCCTGTAATGGCAGCCAAATGCTTGAAATGCCAGGCCTCTTCCTGCTGGGTCCCAGACCAGCTAGGGTGGGCATGCCATGCATTGGATCCAGCCTGGAGTGGGAGAAGGAGGGGCCATGGGCTCAATCCAGACCCTGGGGCTTTCCCTGCACCATTCATCTGGCCCATGGACTGGTCCCACACCATTTATCTGGACCGCAGGGCCAGACAAGTTTGACACCCCTGTTCCAAAGAGTTTAAATAAAAGGTAGTTTTACAAGGATTTATCATCTATATACTCAAAGTACACTAGTGTTACTTTACAGTATTAGTGTTATAACAGAGCCGTTAAGGATGCAGCATATAAACAAACTGAAACCACCAATATTAACTGAAACTTCTGCAAGGTCCACAAAACTAGTGAGCTCACTACACAAATTAAACATCAAAAAGTAAAAATTAACAGACCCCAGGATTAAGAAAATCTGTTCACTTTATATTAAACATCTCTAACATGACCATGGAATGTTTAAGTCCTCTGTTGCAGAGAGGAACTCTTCCCTTTATAATCATGAAGGGTTTTCAACTCTAATATTAATGTGCAAAGTGACTATTTATTTTAATAGATTCTGCAGCATGGCTGTTGCATACGTAGGACGAGCTTGTCTGCTCTCAATTGCATGTTGAAGGTACTGGATGCCTCCGCAACGCTCCCAAACCTCTTCAAACTGTCTCGACAAAATTTCAGCACCCCGCTTTCGAGTTAAGCCAGTCTCTTCAAGGTTTAGCTCACACATCTCCATATCATCCTTGCCTGAAAAAGTTGAAAAGATAAGCTTTATTTAGATGGTTCAAGATCATAAAGGAGTAGGGTTTTTGCTTTGGTTTTTCTTTTTTCAATACAGTTTTCTAAGAAATAGAGAATATGTTATGATTGCTTATAAACAAACATCGATATTCATAAAGAAAAATTAGCCTGATAGCCTTGGAAGTTCTGTTACCCACTGCATAAATACAGCATAAAGTAATAGTCATGATTCAAGTGCCACAAGGTACTTCAAGGTAAGTGAGGTTGTGAACTTAGGCCCCTGGCATAAATTAAAATAATGGCACAATTAGGATTTGTGGAATTTTATGTCCCATTCCAAACATTGCTCAGCCTGCCATGCCACACATAGATACAGACATGATGGGACATGTAGATGAAATGTTGCAGATACATGGGAGCTGCAGGGCAAGGCAAGCAACATGTATCTTGGGCTCGCTGCAACCTGGACTTAAAAACTATCCCGCACATTCAAATCACCAGGTTCAAAGTTGTAAGGTTCCTAGATAGGCGAGTGGAGAAGGTCTTAATTTCAGGTACAATACAAACCAGCCACAAAGACTTTCAATCTTTGTGGAACATCTTTCTGGCTAGTTTGCCATTTTATGGCACCACAAATTAGCTGACTACATGGCATGTTGTTATTTATAGCTTCATTAACATTAACCATGCCATAAATGCAACACATGCCAAGGGCCTCAGTGATTACACAGTAACCATCCACTTGCAAGCTGTTATCCCATGGCAAATGTGAAACAGCCCATTTTCATTGATCTTAAATGAAGAGAAAATATATGATGGATGATTATTCAGTTATTCAGAGCACTTTCACATGGCAAATGTGAAACAGCCCATTTTCATTTATGTTAAATGAAGAGAAAAATACATGATGGATGATTATTCAGTTATTCAGAGCACTGTTTCAAATTAGCAGAAATTGCTCTGCTACACAGTAGTACAAAGTGATGGTAGAAAGTGGAATTACTTGGCTACTAAGGCTCTTTTCTCAGTGTCTTGAGTTATAAAGACCAAATTAACAGAGTTTGTGTGAAGGGATGCAAGAGAAGGGCATTCCCTAGCATGGAAATGCAGGGAGGCAGAAAAAGAGATTAAAACTCTTCCCTTTTGTTCACTTTCCATTACAATAATTAAAATAGGAACATCTTAGGGGAAGATGCCAATAACATGAAAGCAACCACTGGGCCACAAACTGCAGATGAACTGGAGATAAGCTAATGGGGATGGTAAAGACCAAGAGTGAGTGAGAGCACATGCAGAAATAGTAAAAGTACACAATGCCATGTTTTTAAGTTGTTAAAACAACTTAGTATAGGTAGTTGAGGTTTTAAAAATAGAGTTTCTATACCCTATTCCTTATGACTGTTATCTTATTATGCAATATGTTTAATAGTGAAAAGATGCATTGTTGCCAGCTCCAACATATTTTTCTTTCAATTAAAAAAGTTTTAAGATGAAACAGGCTGACATCCTTAGCATCAAAGAGAACCAAGGTGAGCATTAGTATGCTGTTAACATAAGGGTTGCATAAAATAAAGTACAAAAGGACAAAGCTTACTTAACCTATTTATGCTCAACCAGTTGTAACATATACTGCTGTAATTTTTCACAACTGTCTAAAATCAAATAAAGCAGTCACTGTGGAATATTTCTTAGATGACATTGTCACAGTCTTTGACTTTGATGTTCTTTTAGTTGAGAGATTACCTGACTTATACAGAAATTTTTTCAGATACAGCATGTCATCATTTTACTTAGAGAATGCAAATCCATGAAGCCAAGCAACAGCCTCCTTGTTAACTGAACATCATCATTGAACATTTGCTGTAATGCTTTTCAAAAGTTATGAGTATACCAACCAGCTACAAGCAGAATAGGTGGCTTGTCAGGATGAAGTTCCATTTGTCGAGCAATCCATGCTCCATCAAAATGTGCATACCACCAGCCTTTCTTCTTGTTTTGAGGATCTTTGTACTGGTCTGCTGGGCGAATGAAGGGAATACGGAAGTAACGCTGCTGTCTGTTTATTTCAATCTCTTGCTGTCTGTCAGGCAACTGTGTTGCTGGATTCTGTTGGGCTAGTATACAAAAAAAATAGAGTTAAGAGATGCAACACAAAACAGCAAATTCAGAATTTAATGCACAAATCATTTTTATGATGAAAAAATAAGAATAATTTCCCCCAAAAGCAGAATATTATAAGGCTATAAGGTGAATTCACCTTAAAAAAAAACAAACCCTGAAAGACTGAAAACTAGCATTTTTCTAAAAAACCCTCCTGATAGCAGTACTACTAATTAAAACTCCACTGAGAATAGTAACTGTAAGGATGACAGTGTTCACCTACTGTTGACATTTTCAACAATATATTGTGTTGCTTTGAGCATGTCTAGGCAACAAAGTGGTTTAGATTAATATCAAAAGTATACTTTAAATAAAATGCTTTACAAACATTAAAAAAGCTCAGTGTTGCAACCAGCCTAACAGTTCATCTTTGGTACAAAACCAGGTCAAATTAGAGAGAAGTAACTTTATTTTAAGAAGTAATGTAATCTCTAAAGAAAGATATTTGCTAAATAATTAACAGAGAGACTTTATAATCCTATTACAGATGCCCAATGTGGTAACAAAAGTTGATTAGAGGCCCACCCATTTATTACAAAAAGGCTGCAAACAGACATTACTTTTTTCTTGGGAGAAAGCCTTTCCTCCCAGTCCAGTTTTCTGACTGTGAAGCACATGAGAAAAATATGCTAATATTTTCTCTCACAGGGCACTGCTGTGGGCCTCTAAGCAAACTGCAGGTTATTCAAATCAATTGTGTGTCATCCGGGGGGCAAGCCTGTCAGGCTGTGGGCTCTCACTGCCTACCTACTGGCAGAGCAGCAACAATGCGACTTTGAAATGTTATATGTGTAAATGGCTGTGACACTCCTGTTCTGATCCAAGTCAAAGCCTGAGACAATTAGGACAGCCTCACTGAGACATCTACTGAGAGCCTAATTCTCATTCAAAATTTCCAATGAACTCTGGAATTAGAAATCACTTAAGAGATTGATTCCTAAGAAGCATTTATTGTAGGATAATTAAATTAATGTTGAATAAACTTCTACAGAGACAAGTATAGTCATATAAAACTTTCCTTTTTTTCCCCAAGTAATTATGAATGCAAGTCTGCTGCAATCTTAGAAACAGCCCCCTTAATATTGTTTGCTTTTTCAGTGAAAAGGGAATAATTAACAGTGACTTCTCATAACATTATGTCAGTCACCTATTAAGGAGCAAAACTAATTTTGGATCTTAAAATTAATAAAATGAAAAAGTAGAAGTCTTATTTAATTAATGTATTTTTGCAGTTTTACAAAGAAGACATCAGTAAATAGTATAGCCAGCATCCCCTGACATTTCCTTTATTCATAAGTGAACAAGAATGGTTTATCAAAATATAGAAAGCAGCATCTTAAAAATCCCACATATAAACATTAGTGCCTAAAAAACAAAAATGGTCAAAGAGGGGGAGGAGGGGAAAGAAACATGTCCAAATAAAGAAAAATGTTTTAAGACAGGATTTAGTACCATTTGTTAAACATTAATTCTCTTCAGATACCATTTTTATATGCTAGCATTGATAAAAGCACAAGTTATATTTAGGAGAATTTTTGGTTCAATTGAGTTATGCAATTTTTGCATACGCAATTCTCTATGAATTGCCTGAACCTACATTACAGCAAACTGAAGTTTTAATATTAAAAAACAGGGGGGAGGAGGGGTTACATTTCAATGGCAATCAGCAGATGTTATTTCTACCCTTGACCATATTTCCATCAATGAGTAAACCCTAAAGGATGGAAGTGCCATACAGTCACTACTTTTCAATGCTAGATACATTTTAACACATTTTGTGAAAAAAGAAACCAGCACCCAAATGTTAATTTTGGCTCTAAGAATCAGCTGCTATACATTGATGCCAGAGTTTTGCTACCATAGAAAAAGGTGTACTGATACAATAAAAAGGCTGTTAAACAGCCCAGCATTCTTTGAATATGTTAGCTTTTTGAACCTAAAACATTAGTTAATACTTTAATGAACCTACATGAAAAAGTTAATCCCCCCAATATGTCATATCTGATGAAAATAAGCTCCAAAATACACTAGTGCACAATTTATATATATATAAATATATAACCACTAAATGACCACTCATCAAGCAAATTTAACATTTGGTGGGCTTTAAAAAAAAAAAAAAAAAAAAAAAATCAACCAATAGTTTTTATTTTTATACTCTGTACATAGAATGGTAGCAAAAATCTGGATAAATGAAGTTAGTATAAATTTTGCAAGTACTCCTATTTTTAGAAGTTAGCTTAAAAAACCATCTCCCCACTTACTTGTGTTGTTCAAAAATGGTGCAAAATCTGTAAACAAACATTACACATTGAAGAAAACAAAAGTATTGATCCTGTTAAAGTTCTGCTTTCAGTACTTCAAAAAGTTTGTCACCAGTCCAAGGGACAGACAAATGAAAATCCCATTTATACCAAAAATGTGAGTGGTGATCTGCACTTATGTGCTGTTTACTGATTCAAATCAAATATTTCATTTGATCCAGTTTCAAGGATCTCTGACAGATGATACTTTAATCAGGATTTAAATTTGAAAATACTATTATAATCCCAGTCAGAAAAAACAAGTGATAAATGAGTACAATGGGCTGTGAGGACAAATCTTTGTTATTTCATGTGGTACCTTTAATAAGCTTTTGACATTTTCAAAAGGAAAGAAAATATATTCTTTAGTTGCTAGAGTTCTGTTAATACCTAGCCAAGAAAGATGTAGCTCCTTTCTTTGCTCTATATTATCCACTAATTCTATGGCCTCCTGTAAGCCAATGCACATTTAGTATATCTAATTTATCATATGCACTGACCTCTAACAGGACTATTGGACAACTGTATGACACTGGCTAAAGGATAAGGTGAGGAATGTATTCAATAACATCCAATGGAGTATTCGCGTAAGTATGCAAGAAATTAGATAATTCAATATAATGAAGGATAGTTGCAATACACAGAATTGAAATGTTCACTTTGTATGACGACTCATAATAAGAATTTACTGACACCAATATGAAGCTTAAAAGGTCAGTATCAGCAGGCTACTGTGTTTTTTCTAACTACAATGATCAAGTCTTACATGGAAAGAGGTGGAGTTTTTCAATAAAAAGAAAAAAGTTTATAATGCAGCAGTACAAAACAAGAAATATTGGTATAAATTGGAATTAATTTTTAGTCTCTGGACTTATAACAAGGTGGGCCTCCCACTGCCTTCAATAGTGTTGCACAGATGACTGAAAGGTAGATTTATATTCTTTATGGTACATTGCTCTGCCGTGCCAAAAAACAACATTATATGAAATCCATGGAAATATACTTTTCCCATTTAAATCCCTTAAAAAGCAATGGGACCTGTTCTCATTAGCATGACGTTTTGAAAGTTTACAGAGTCAAAGTTTGGGAGATGAACAAGATAACAGACTAACACTGAAACAGAGACTATAAAACAACCATCATCCCGTTATCACATACTTATTATCAAAGCATATTGAACAGACACTGAACTATGAAAGAGTTAAAGAATCTTGGTTGAAATGTGTAAAGTTTAAACCTTAATATTTAAAGATATAACGAGGAATGTGATCTTGGATGAATAAGGATAAAAGTATGACAGGGAAAATCCTGTCATCAATATATTTTAATCCTTTTAGATTGCATGTAGCAATCTTGTATGTTTGAGGAACCAGCAGCTAAAACTGGATGCACTTTTGTGATCCATTATTCTTTGGCAGACCCTGTTAGTTCTCTTGAGCTTGCCTGCTAAATGGAGACAAGACCTGATTTCTAATAGTCTTCAAAAAGTGTTTCAAATGCTGTAGGGTATCACTGAAGTAACCACCAAACATCCTGTATATTCATATATGAAATATATGCATCTGTGTGAATATAATATGGGTACTCAACTACTGTCAGTAGGCCATTTATAAATGCTATGTTTTCTAGGTTTAATAGACTGCAGCTGTAACCATATACATGTGGATATCTGCAGTACTAATTAAAATTGGCTCTAGTCCAAATTAACTAATCCTTATTGAATAAGGTTTAAAATTAATGCAGGCTAGGGGAGTCCTAATTAGGCAATTTAGACTGTATTAGTTAGCATGTATATACAGTACGGCTTTTACGAAAATCAGTGCTTAGGAACTCAGGGTACTTGCAGATATACAAAAAATCCAAAAACAATCCCCCCACCCCCTGCCTGAGCTTTGCTTTAAACTCAGCGCATTCTCACACTTAGCCCTGTGCATGCCCAGAAGAGACGGTGTGTTACTTCAAATCAGCCCGCCCAACGTCTGTAACGACTGGGAGCTTTAGTGGGTCTTTTTTGGCAATTTTGTCCAACAGCCGATTGAATCAGTTTTAGCTAAAAGCAAAAAACCCCACAGAAGCACCCAATCTTAACAAACACTGCAAAGCCATGTTGAAGCAATGCACCACTGCTTCCAGTGAAGCGTGTTTTTGGGGTGAGGGTTTTAATGTCTGCAAACACCCTCAGAGAAGCACTGCAAATATCAGTCCCCACAAGGGAAACTTAATTAGGTTTTTACAAAATAGAGGCTATCAGACACAAACCTACACCTTTACAAAGTCATATGTGGCATCAACACCTCACCCTGCTAATTATCAGGTCAATTACAACTTTTCGAACAACACTTTAGATAACTGCAACAATGTAGCAGTGCTTACACAGGCTTATCAGCACCTCCTAATTACTTCCAAGCTCTGTTAAGGGGTTGTCAAATGTATATAGCCAGTGCCTCCTGCAATGATGGTCAATGATAGTCTATTAACCCTCAAGTCAAACAGAAATTTGGTTCTAACTGTGGGATGCAGATCAGTTAACAGTTAATGGTTTAGAAAATACTGAGCACTTCTACAAGTGACCTAAAATATCAAATCTAGAACTATTTCTATTTCTAACTGGTGCTGATTGTTTAGAAATAACCATTTTTAGTTGTTAAAGCTGTACTGGAGAAATAAGAAATATCAGTAAATGTAGCTAAAGTACAATTATTTTTGTTAAACGGTCTCATCTAATATCATACAAACATACTGTTAAATTAAATAACTTTCTTCAACATAACCAAACACCAAGTGCTTAAAACCAACCTAAAAATGTAAACAGCTTAAAAACTTGCTTCTAGAAACATTTCCTGTCGAATTTTTCCATATTTCAAAACAAAGTATTACAAGAATAAAATGCATTTTTCTCACCATAGTCAGTAACTGATTTTGGAGCACGTTGTTCTGTTTCTGCATTACGTTTCTTATTCTTGGATTTCCAAGTATGATACACTTTAAGTCGTCTGTGAAATTCTTCTCTGCAAGCTGCCAATAATTCAATATCTGTCCAACAAAGAGCATAGAAGGAACAGGGATGAGAGCAGGAGATGGGGGGGGAGAATTGGGGAAGGAGACAGGCATGTGTTTATACACTGCATCACTTTAGAGCAAGTTATAACAGCACCTCTGCTGCAAGCAAACTTAAAGCTTTAAGCTGAGCTACACTGGCAGACAGGAAGCATGGAAACTTATTTCTGCTAAAGGCTTAATTATAGACCTTTTGCTTTGCTGGTTGAAACAGAGCTGGCAGATGCAAGCAGCTCAGACATCTTGAAAGCAATATATACATTCATGGGTAATGAGAGTTTACTTATATCAGTCCTGGACTGTAAAATTCATGCACCAAGATACTGCATGCTAGTCATGCCACAGGCCCTTCAACAGAGATGAACTGCACCAAGCAAGGGAGAGAAGAAATGCCTCGGGGCTGGCTTGCTGGTAGGTCTTACAGTGCTGCAAAGTCTATTTGCTATTCCTCTCAGAAGATTCTCCTTAGAGTGCAAGGGCAGCACATCAACTTTGTGCCAGCCTTTCAATGACACCAGAAGGGCTAAGTAACCTAAAGGTGAATTTAAAAGCTCCATACCCACAGCAAGAGCAGGGAGCTCCTGGAAGGCTCGAAGCACTTTTGAGGTGGATCTTACCAAGCTTATGAATAGAATCATGTTATATGGTTCCCTGCTGTGGTGGGGCATTGAACCCAATGACACAGAAAGTCCCTTCTGGTCTTATACTCTTTACGTTTTTCCCCCTTCTTGACAAACGCCTGGCCTAACAGGAGCTCAGCTGCTCCCAGATTTGAAGAGTAAGCTAGGAGTTACAATTTTCACTTTTCTCACTTGCCTTTTTTACAGTTACCACACGCAAAGCAGTTGGGGAGCAGGTCCTATCCACCTTTCTAACTTTATCCCAGCCAACCGTACAGGGAACTAATATTTAAGAAAACATGTGACAGCATGGCTGCTTGCTTCCTCCCCCTGAGAGTTGCCAAAATACATGGTACAGATAAAAAAAAGAAAAAAAAAAAAGAAAAAAAAAGAAGGTGGAATGATGACAACCCCCACCACCAAAGAAAAAACAAAACCAACCCCCCCCGCCTTCACTCACTGTTATAATAGTGAGGCAGAGGAACAGACTGCTTAAGGAAGATGTGGAGTCTCCATCACTGGAGGTGTTCAAGAAGAGGTTGGACAGCCACTGGTTGTGGATGATCTAGGCATAGCTATGCTTATGTTCTACTATGAGTATTTCCCACGCTTCTAGGCTTTGTTGGTTGCTGCACAAGGCTGGGAGGTTTGCCTCTCCTTTTCCCTCCTACATACATCAGGTGTGGGGGTTTTTTCCCCTGTTTTTAAAGCCTTCCTCAGAAGCACTGGAGGCTGGCTGTAGCCAAGGCTGGGAGTGTGCCAATGTTTCTGCAGGTACCAAAGCCGGAGGTTCCTGGCTACAGAGTCTTGCCCCTTCACTCAGGGTCAGACCAACTATCATGTTTGGGGTCAGGAAGGAATTTTACCCCATGGTCACACTGGTATTGGTCCCTGCCCTCCTCTGCAGCAGGGGACACAGACCTCTACTTTGAATCTCTTGGGTGTATATTAACCACCTTTTACAGAAGCAAGATGTTGGTGGCTGTAGGCCCCCTGCTTTACCTGTGGCACTGCAGGGTGTTAGGTTTTGTGTTGTGTCAGGGTCAATGGTACTTTTACTGAGGGGTTAGATTGTGGATTTGTACAAGATGGTTTGGATACAAATAATCCTACCTCAAACAGGGGGTTGGACTAAGTGACTTAAAAATGTCCCTTCCAGTCCTAGTTCTCTACTATTTCTCTGACAAATCTCAATAGTCACCTAAGAGGTTCTGAACAAAGTTAACCAGATATGAACAATTAAGTGTATTAGCCCGCTGCAGCAAAAAAATAAATCTGGTCTACAGAAAGTAATATTTTAATCTGAAGACTCAAAAA